ACACACACACACACACACACACACACACACACCTGACTCGTCTCCGTGAACGTTCACTCTGAACGCTCGCTTCAAAGCAGCAGCAGGAGGATGAAGGTGAACTGAGCTCGTCAGTCCCGAGTCAACCCATTAACTTGTTTACCTCAGTCTGAGAATAGCTGCTCCGCTGCAGTTAGTAATAGAAACACTGTGAGGCCTTTGTTTATACACTGGTTTAATTGAGCATTGGGGGAATATTTTGTTGCATTGAGCGATACGTGTGTAGTCGTCCGGTGTTCCTCGATCCTCGTTCTCACCGTCAACAGAGGAGTCGCTGGGTCCAGTCAGTCGTCTCAACCTCAGTCAGGGGATTTCAAATTCTGTCCTGAAACGTTATTTCAAGTGTATTTTACAGTACTAATACTTTTAAAGGCTGTTCATGTGCGGATTGTCAGATTTGTTTGTTTAGTCAACTGATTATTTAAATGCAGATTTTATTTATAATGAATAAATACGGTTTTAGATATTCGTGTTCGAGTGGAGTTCAGAGTCTCTGTCTGGAGATGAGATCTGAACCAAATGAAAACACGCATTATTTCAAGGCACTTCACATGAACCAAGAATGTTAGTGTATAAAGTGTATAATTGTTGAAATGCTCCTTTAATGTGAGTTCAGTGTCTCTCGTTTCTAAAAATACTTTTCTCTCTGGAGATTTTCAGTCTCTAAATTAACCTTTTCATCGCTGTCATGAACTTCAGCGTGGAAGTGTTCAGGCTTTCACACTAACTGATGTTTATCCTCTCTGACCTTCACATTTACATTTCAGTCGTTTCAGCAGATTCTCTCTCACTGAGCAGAGGAAGGATCAGTGTCTGACTCAAGGACACGCACGGCGACAGACGTCTTTTAGTTTATCTTCCTGGTATCTCGCTTTAATCCAGGAATCAGGATGGAGAGAGGGCCGCCTCTAACCACTTATCTCTCTGCTGCATTTCCTGTGTGTGTCCTTCGTCCTTCTCTTTGCCTGTTGTGTTTTTGTGCGTGCGTGTGTGTGTGTGTGTATTCGTCTTTATGTGTCTGTGTGTTTTTGGTTAGAAGCTCTGCGGGGGGTGACCATGGTGGAGCTGGTGAAGAAAGAAGGCAGCACACTCGGTCTCACCATCTCAGGAGGAACCGACAAGGATGGGAAACCACGGGTATCGAACCTGCGGCCTGGGGGGCTGGCGGCCAGGTGATTGAACACCATCAAAAAATTAAGAAAAACATTCAGTCTTTCTTTTCACCACGATATCGTACTCAGGAGCGAAAGACGATAAACTGGTCCTTTAAGTAAAACATCGTTATAATACAACTGATATACGGTTTGTCTTCACGTGCGTTCTTTCCCGTCCGGCTCAGGAGCGACCAGCTGAACGTTGGCGACTACATCAAGTCGGTGAACGGCATCAATCTGACCAAGCTGCGGCACGAGGAGATCATCAGCTTGTTGAAGAACGTCGGGGAGAGAGTCCTGCTGGAGGTGGAGTATGAGCTGCCCCCTACAGGTACATGTCAGGGACCTGAGGTTTCAGGTCGGAGGTAGTTAGTTCCAGCAGTCGTTGTTTCAGCTTTGGCCCTGAACGTTGTCTCGGTGCAGCCACGATGCTGATGTCTGTAGTTCTAGTTTCCCCTCGACGATAAACAAGTCGTCTCTGTCATTTTTCAGTCTTTGTTTCATGAAGTGTTTTTTTTTTTTGTATGTAAAGAAAAAACTTCAAACTTCTTGATCTGTGCCTCAAACTTGAATATTTCATCACTTCTCTGTACCTGCTGCAGTAACGCTGCTCGTATTTGTATCTTCACTCTCCACCCTCCATCTATTGAATGAACATGATCAGCCGCAGAAGCAAACTAGAAAATTATTTATCCTCCCTCCCTCTCTGTTTCTCTCTCCCTCTCTCTCTCTCCCTCCGTCTCACAGCACCAGACAGCACCTCAGGGGTTATATCAAAGACAATCGACATCTGTTTGCACAAAGAAGGGAACAGCTTTGGTTTCGTGATGAGAGGTAAACAGTGAGACGAACCACTTCCTCTACGATTGAAGGGAATGAATGAATATTATCGATCGAATGCACCGTTTTGCAAAAAATTAAATAAAATAGAGACGCACAGTAAATTCTTTGTATCAGGACTGAAAGAGAAAAATGAAGCCGTGAAGGCAGAGAAGACTAATTTAAGTAAATGAAATGCTGCTCATCTCTGAAGTGGTCGGTGTTATTCCATGTTGACTGCATTCGCCACTTTCAGATCGTTGTGGAAATATGAAGCAGAATACAGTGAACAAGTAGTTGAATTCATATTTTGTGTTTTTGCAGATCACGTTCTCCTTGTTTAACACGTAGATTGTAAATAAAGATGGATGAAATTACAGCTACTTTAAAGGGAGGTTAAATCATCTTAATGTGAGTTTTCGTGCGTCAACTTTTCTTTTCTCTTCCTTCAGGTGGGACACAAGAGGACTGGCACAGATCACGCCCCCTAGTGGTCACCTATGTGAGGCCAGGAGGCCCCGCCGACAGGTAGATCTGACCCCGTACACACTTGAACTCTGCACAGGCAGTTACACAGTTTATGCACATTAATGAACAAATGCACAAAACCACAAAGATTGTTACACGATTTACAGATGAACAGAATATTTCAGGGTTAAAAAGGACAAAAGGTTTTCCTGAATGAAAGCGATGCATCGTAAAAATAGGAGCCATCGAGTTGACATGAACACACAGTTCAGTCAGTCGGTGTGGGGGGGGGGGGTCTAGGAGATTTGTCTGTGCCTTCATGCAAATAAAGCCCAAGGATAACAGTGTCGTTCCCTGTGACCGTCACTGGTGTCTTACAGTTATGTGTTAGTCAGAGCGGCAGCGGCATGAATCACCTCATATCCCGTCTAATGTTGTCATCACGTGTCTGTCTCAGCCTTCGTGTTGAGGCAATAATCCACAACGTTTTCATATAAATGTCAGATTAGAGGCGGTTTAAATGATGCAATGTGACGCTGATTCAACCTTTTGTGGATGCAAAAACAGGAAATTCGTACAAATTCACATTATTTAAAATGGAAAAATGAATCAAAATTTTCCCCTGCAAAGGAAACGATGACTTTTAAATTTCCAGTTTATCTGGAACAAGATCTGTAAAATGTGCGTTTAAGAAATGCATGAGACGGAGAGAAGAGCTTCCTCTGCAGGAACGCAGACCGAAGAAGAAATTAAAATGAATCTTAGAAAACATTAAACGTGAATAATAAAGATTTTATTCTATTTTATTATCATATTAGATATATTACGCATTGCTTCTTTTCTTGTTGTACTGCTAACTTTGCAAAGCACTTTCAACCAAGTTGTTTTAAATGTGATGAATAAATGACGGTGACATCGACAACAGATGAAAAAACTCAAAGAAAAATATTTACCGTTTTACATTTACATTCATAATGAGACACATTAGTAAACACACATGAGTTTTTTTACATTAAACCAAACAGAAGTGAACTGAAGCAATGAAACAATTCTTAGGATATATTCAGCACAACAGTTTTGACAGTACTTTGCCTGACACCACGAGATTATTCATAAAAGAACTAGTGTGGCTCAGCACATACTGAAGCTGCTCTGCAGGTGAAATAATAATTTACTCAGAACCTTTCCTTAAATTCTCATCCGTCTGCGTTAACTTTACAAACATCTATCGAACGTCTAAAGTTGCTCCAGAGTCTGTGACTCCAGCTACGACAGGAAAAATACATCGAAAATAAAGTGTGGCCCTGCTCTGATCACTTAGCTGCTTCAATCAGCTGAAGCTCGACTTTAAAACCGCGAGAAGCTATTTTTACTCTCGTTGCAGCTCCGTGCGCCGTCAGAGCTTTAAAGAAAGAGACCGCGTCACTGCAGAATTCATCCCGGAGCTTCTAAAAATAGTTGGAACGTTACCTGTGTCCTAATTAATCGATCGAACACATATCTGTGTTCAAGAAATGAGCTCAAACTAACCAGATTTTTTATTTTAAACACATTCCAACGTTCACACACGTTTGGAGTAAATCTCTCCAGGGTCACATTTATATTGACAGACTGGGGCGAGACCGAGATTAAAGTCTTTTTTCACTATTGGTTTATTTCGCCCTGAAGCTCATCAAACACCATTTTAGAGAAAGCCATCCTGAAAATGTGGGTCAGTCCAGGGGAAACGAATGAGATGTTCATGCTGCTTTATATCCCATTCATCTCCCAACCGGAAGAAAAAAAAGTTAATCCATCGAACCACACAGTCCCAGGAGTGCCCACGTTTTTAGCATTATACCAACTGAGAGTTAAAATAACAGCGAGAGAGAGACACGGTGTTCTCATCGCTGGATCAGAGTGAAACTGATTTCACTGCATCGTTATTTGAAACCGAGAGGGAGCACGTTAGAAAGGAAAAACCATGAAGCAGGTTTCATTTTCAGGGACGTCCTTTAAATGGTTTATGACTGAAGTTAACTGAGGGTCTGGAGAAGATCCTAGATGATACTGGACGATGGTACTTTATCTTGTCCCATCTCATCTTTTCTAATCATTTTCTCCTTCATGTGAAAACGAACGTAGACTCCTCGTCCAGAAAGTGAAGAAGTCCCACGAGAAAATTATTCTGATTCTCACTTTATAACGTCAGGAAACATTTTCCTAAAGAGTTCATCGTCTCCATCTCTAGTTTCTTCTTCAAAACAGCTGATTAGTAATGAAATAGTCCACGAAGCACTCTAAGCATTTGGGGCGTGGCCGTGTGATTGACATCTATAGAAGCCTCAATGTGGTTACTTCTGGCTTCAAAAACCAAGATGGCGCTGGACAAAATGGCTTCAACGAGTGACAGCAAACATCAGATTCTAATGTCGGTCTCTCAGAATCAGAGTATGACAACCTTTAAGTTTATTATGCTTCATAAACAAAATGTATTGATGCTTAACTTCTGCTCACACGTTTTCCAGATGGACTCAAGGGGCAAAACCAAGTTTGAATCAGACTTTAAATTGACTCCAGATAAAATAAATTTCAGTGAAACTTCACTTTTCTAGATACGCAGCTCAGCTTGCATCATGTTGTTAAAACGCTTCAAGGCTATTAGCTGTCACACTTCAGGCTGGTGTGATGACAGCTCGGCGTTACTCACACCCTGGCATCAGGCATAAAGCATCTATCAGCTGTCAGACGCAGCCGTCTGCATGAACAAGTTAAAATTTCCACTTTCTAGAGGAAATAAATCATATCCTCAAATGGGCTACAGCCTGGAGCGGCTCTTAAATATCAAGTATCCAGTCTGTGAGTGTGTTTTTGTCACAAATTTAAAAGACACTAGATCACATGAGATTAAGAGATTATATTAAATATATCTGTGGTTCCATCTCAGTAATTTTGAACATTGGGAAGCAGCAGCAGCTTCTCTTGTGATGAAGAGTTTCCACCGCATTTGTTCTTGAGGTGAAAGGAAACTGCAGACGAGAGGAGGAGAGAGGTAGAAGTAAAGGCCTCGTAAAACTAATAGAGTATAAAATATGCTTTAAGGATTGAAGAGAGAAGTTGGCAAGAGCAGAATATCTTGGCCTGTGACCAGTTACTCAAATAAGGTTTACGTGAACTTGAATTAAGTGACTGAAGGAGGAAGAGGATGAAAAGAATGAATCTGAGAGAATAAGAATAATGTTTGATTTCCTTTGTTTCTGTGTGTGTGTGT